CAGCTCCTCTCCGCTGCGGCCCAGCGCGGGGCCCCCCAGCCGGTGGGAGCTCCCCGCAGGGCAGGGAGCGCCGCCTTCCCCGTGCCACCTCCCCGTGCCTGCAAGTAGCTCTGAACGTTTGTTGCAACGGCAGAGGAGATGGTCAGGCTCCCTTCTGGCGTGTCATCTTTTAAAAGGAGATCTTTGCCCTCAAGGAGGTCTTTGCCCTCAACGATCAGTGATTTTGGCGCTGATGGCACTTCCACATTTGCTTAGGAAGTCAAATCGCTTTCTTGTTTTTAGTTCCCCCGTTTCATTGGTAGCCTCAAGCTTGGGAATGCAGTTCATACAGTAAGTGATGAGATTTCTAAAAGAACAAATCAAACTTCTCCAAAAGCGTGGTCCTTGTACCGTGTGTCTTCTGTGTGATATATTGGAGGCGGTTAACCTGTTCATGTTGCCTTTCTCTTTGGTTTGGGGTCTCGCTGTGTTCTTTGTTCTGCATCCTCCAGCCTTTCCCTTGAGGTTCTTCCATGTCTTCTTGGCTGCTTTGGAGAGCTCCTTGCACTCACTGACAGTCCTGTTTGTTTTCTGTGACAGAGGATTAAGGCAACTGAGAAGTTCATGTACTTACTTATTAGGTGGTTGTCCATGCACACTGTATTAAGCTGTCTTCTCTTTATTTAACATTAAATAAAGAAACACTGCCTTGCCTTCGCCTTTTCTTTGATACCGGCTATCCTTGTGACTTACGCTGTACGTGTGGTTTGTTCTTTCTTGCTTTTCTTACTGCTACTTGCATCACTGAGCTGGGTGGGAATACCGCTCGCAGATGGAGACCCTACACACGAACAGCCAAAGATGATCACAGGTGCACGGAGGTTGTTGCCTTAAGCGTACCGTCAGCCGGAGCATTTTCCCACTGTGGAGAAATGAGCTGTGCGGAGCTGCTGTCGTGCAGAAGAGGGGTGGTGCTTGGGAACGTGAGCACAGGGAGCTCACGCCTGCGTGGGAGGGATGCTCGCCTGCGCTGCCAGGCTGTGAGCTTGCTCTCTGAACTGCGGTGTGCTCCGAAGGTGGAGCTCTGTGCACTCCGAAATTGCTTTCCGAGCAGGGGGAGGGTTTTCTCTGCTTGTATTGACGCTGTCCTCTCCCCTTAAACACTCGTGCGTTGTGAAAGGTATGAAAACTGTTTTTAACAGGATCTGTTTCAAAGGGTCTTCTTGCTTTAACTTGGATTAGAAAGTAAGTGAGAGAAAGGTAAAGCAAAAGGAAGAACCGTATTAAGCAAAATACAGCCTATGAGAGATACGGGAGCACTAGAGGAGGTCACAGCCTGGTTTAATACGGGACCATCCCTATCCTGCAGGACCTGGAGCATCCCTGGAGCAGCTGGGAAATTGCTGCAAAACACTAAGCCACTTGCAGCCCGGGCTTGCTTTTATTTTCTGGCTGCTGCTCGTACACTGCTTTTGTAGCTACTTCCTGCTTCAGTACTGGTAAAAGGCCGGGTTGCCCTGCACTAATATTCATGTCCTTTTTGGATTCTGTAGGTTGCGGATATCAAACGCGTCAACAACTTCATCCGGGAGCAGGACTTGTATGCACTGAAGTCCATCAAGATCCCCGTGAAGACCCATGGGCTGTTAACGGAGAACGGCAGAGACCTAAGGCCGCTCCCGACTGCGCCCTCCCAGGCCGGCCTGACGCTCGTGGACTTGCCGGAGCCTGATGACGGCGCGGGCGGCTCTGCTGACGGCGGGCACCTGAGCGACTACTTCAAGGGGATTGACAAGAGCATTCAGGACGCGGTGCAGGCGGAGGTCCAGCTAAACGCAGAGTATTGCGTGGAAGCACGGGAGAGGCCGCTGCCCGAGTCAGGGAAGCCGGAGACCAGTAACGGCGCGGACTGTGGAATCCAGTGGTGGAACGCAGTTTTTATTATGCTCCTGATAGGAATCGTCCTGCCTGTATTTTATATCATCTATTTTAAAACACAAGGCCTGGTGGCCCATACCTCCAACACAACACTAACCTCAAATATTTCAACAGATGGATTGGAAGGGAAATTACCACAAAGCCCAGTTGTAGAAGAGAAATCCTAAGGGGGAGAGGCAGCCCAGCACGCGCCCTCTCCTCCCGGCACTGAAGCCCATATGCCAGCAACTCTGACTCAAGTGCATTCAGGGGGATAACAATACAGATTATTTTTATTTTTTTAAGTAGCTGATGATATAGTCCTGAACTTGCCTGAAAGCGAGGTGATGTGATTTTATGGAAGAATAAGGATGCTGTGTTGCTTACGAAGCTCATCAGGCAGCTGGCTTAACATTCGTGACCTCTCTCGAGGGAAAGCACTTTGTAGCAATTTACTCATCTTGGATGCTTCAGGTATTTCTTAATGCCTTGCCTAAGCAGCGAATCCTTTGCTGCTGAGATAGAGTGCAGTATTAATGTGATTGGAAAGTTTGGGGGTTTGCATTTTAAGTAAACACTCTTTGCTTAGAGTAGGAGCGGGGACTCTTCTTTTTCTCAGAACTGTAATTTTTATCTCTTGCAGACCATGGCAGTGTTGGCATACTTAACCCTAAAATGACTTCTGGTGTGCTAAGCTAGGTGTGCCGTGGCACGGGGATGCTGCCAGCACCTCACCTTTTCCTCCTTTTGCGCAAAACTTTAAGCTGTGTTCATTAAGCTGCTTCAAGCCCACCACTGAGACCGGTGAGCCCAGACCATCTCCTTGGTGAAATCCTTCAGAGACAGCTCTTGAAATGCAGTGTCTCTGCAGGTGGAGCTCGTTGCCGAATCCGTGCTTTCGCTGGGGTGCTGCTCGTCCAGAGCCAATAGTTCGGCAGGGCCAGAGAGCACTGGAGGAGGCGGTGAGTGGAGCGTTAGGCCTGTGGTACGCAGCACGCGCTTCTCAAAGGCTCCTTTGTTGGGGGGAGGGCTGGCCAGTGTGACTTTTTGGGGAGCGGGGGGGAAAATCCGTAATGGTGCATCTCAAACAGCCGGTTGCAGTCACTGATTTGAGTTTCCTTCTAGTTTTCACATGAGGGAGCATTGCTAAGCTGCGTTTAGTTTGCAAGGTCCAGGAAGGAAGCCCTGCGTTACCTTAGGCAGTCACGGAAAGAAGCGCAACTCCTTTATCGGATGGGATGGTGAAGCTGCTGCACGGTAAACGTTTCTGTGAACCCCTGACGTTTGCATTAAAAAGCTTCTGAGTGTGTGGGAAAGACCGGTGACGCTTGGGAGGCTGGTGGTGTCCCGAGATGTCGGTAAGCCTGAGGTCCGTGCTCTTTAGGACGCGTCAGTAAACACTACGTGCTAGGAGCCAGCAGAAGAATGAGGCTTCAGGGAGCTTTTATTTGGCAACTGGAGGGCCTGCGGGCAGACGTAGGGGCTTTCCTAGACCCACGCACACTGGGGTATTTTTGTAGCACGCTGTCAGCTGGGCTGTGAGCAAGGGCCGCACCTTTCGCCAGGCCAGGGCAGCGCTGCCGTGGCACTGGGAGGGGAGGGTTTGCTTTCGGGGAGGGGTTTGGTTTTTTTGGTTGCTTACAGCAAAGGTGAGGCCGGGCGAGAGCTGAGGCACGGGCTGTGTTGTGCAGGTGCCAGGAAGCGCGGGGTGGGATTGAGGCGCCCCAGCAGCGCGAGGAATGCCACGCCACGCGAGCAGAACCACACGACGTAACACTAACCTGTGTTTCCTGCACCTGTCAAAAAAAAAAAAGTGCTCAGGAGTCGGAGGGAACCTAATTTTGTAAACGAGGACTCTAAAGTATCTTATACTGGCGGGGGGGGAACCCAAACAACACACCCTTGTATTTTTCTTCTGTGAAGGAAATGTATCTCTCTTTGTTCTAGGGGGAGGATTATTACATTTTTAAATAAAGCAAAATGAAATAAAAGCACAAGGGGCACCACCCACCCCAGATGGCTTGCGCTCTTTTTTTTATGGGGTGGTGTGGTGGTGTGGTGGTTTTTTTTTTTTTTTGTTTGTCACCACAGCTGGGCGTCGCGCGGCCCAGCTGAGCGCTTTCCTCGCCACAGCTCCACGGGCCAGGAGATGGAGGCCCGGGTTTTCCTCATGCAAAGGTTGTTTCACACAGCCCCGGTTCGCCGTGCACCGTGTCCTTACTGCCGGTTCCAAAACACAGAACCGTGGCCAGCAGTGGCGCAGCTCTGCCCACAACCACCGCACCGGCTTGCTGGCACGCACCCTGTCCAGCTGTCTGTCCATCCACCCGGTGTGCAGCAGCACCAATGGCAGCAAAAGATGGGACCGTCTGGAGACACCGAGGGCAGGGCTTGTCTTGGGGGCATGGAGCTGAGCCCGCCCAGGGTGGTGTGGTGTTTTGGTTTTTTTTTTTTTTTTTCAAGTTTCTGTAAGGGCTTTGTAACAGGATTCTTACAGAGCCTCAGATCTTAATTTGACTGTAACGGTGTGCACATGTCCCCCAAATGCACAGTGACTGAAGGAACCATTGCTGCGGTGGAAGAACCACTACTTCCAGGCCACTACTTTCGGATGCCGGGAGAGGGGCCACGATGCGCTGCGCGCACACGCGCTCTGCAAACACGAGAGAGGCGGGAGTACACAGTAAAAGCCAGTATCTTTACTTTAGTGATTGCAGAATACAAATATTTTACAACAACCTCTAGCATTTTCTTAACCGTTTGATAAAAAGTTCACTAGAATATTTATTGTATATTGAAGAAAAAACAACACATTCAGGGAAAAAAACTGAGATTAACTTACTCTTTTTTCTTAAAAGATTCGTCTCAAGGATGGCAACAAAGTCCAGCTTGTGCCGCCAAACGGCTTATCATCATTAAACCGTGAACAGCTTCTTTGTGAACTGTTGACTACAAACATTTACCAAATACATAAATCTCTTTTAAAAAAGCCATTTTAAATATAGCAAAGCAGTGTTCTCTTGCACAGCAAAGTGAAGAAAGTTTCTACTAAGATTTAAATGTTTACATTTGTTAAGTCTTTCTTTCACATTCTGATTTAACTTCTTCCCATGATCAATTGCTAGGAGTTATTTTGTTCCTTATTTACTATGTATTTCTTGTGCGCGCAGTAATTCGCAAGTTTCTGATGCATTAGTGTCCTTTAAGTGAAAGGCAAGGCTAAAGCATTTTTCTCTGACGAATCCCTGATAACGTGTATTTTTAAACACCATAGTGAGAGCTTGGAGATGGAGAGGTGATTTGTCACAATAGCAGATAAAAATCTTAAATCATTCAGACGTGAATGGGTTCAGACTCGGATCAGATCCACTTGCAACTTCATATTTATAGTTAATTAAAAAAAAGTATTTTTTTTTTTACCTGTTGAAATATCTGTGCTATGTCGTCTTTTTTTTTTTTTTATAAAACATTTTTACAATTCCTAAAAAAGTACGTTCCAAAGTTCGATACTTGTTATTAAAAATCAGGATTCCCATTTATTCAACGGTACGAGATTCTCGCCCTGAGGCGGGAGGTCTGTGAAAAGACTTGTTCTGCTGAGTCTGGCGGAGGGTTTGGGGCAACCTGGGAGCAGTCCCGTCAGCGGTTCTTAAGAACTGATTATTTTTTTGTTTTGTTTTTAATTCATTGGTGCAATTTCAATACAAACTCTAACCCTTACGTAGCTTTTTTTTCTTTTAAGAAAACAGTAATCATACTGTTTAAAAACCTGCATAGAAATAAAGACTATTGAGATACAGTCAGCAAAGCCATCTTATAAGGCACACAAGAAAATAGACAGTAAATGTGAATGCAGAACTCCCACTCGGATGTACAGCAAAGTTCATATATGTGCATAAATAAAGAAAAAAAATCACATAACTTTTCAGAGCATTAAAGGTTCTCAGAAGCGGTAAGTGAATTCAGTCACTTTGGAAACAAGAGTTGCCATCAGAAAGAGCCTCAGTTTCCTCTGCTTCTGCAAGCCCGTAACTAACTGCAACAACTGGAGAGCCACTTCCAAAGGGAAGCGGCTGAAACGAACCGAAACCTGTCCGGGTTCGGGTTTTTTTGAAGTTACCATGACAAGAGGAGACGGGTTTGGAAGCCGTACGCGCTGACCTTGTTCTTCAGTCACACGTTAAAGCAAGCGGCCGAGCAGACAGCTGTCCCCGCTGGATTTCCGTTTCTCACACTTCTTAGTCACAGTATCAAGTAATTTTTTTCCAATTACCCCCCCCCCCAATTATTAAAAAATAAAAAATTTAATAAATATCAGGGATAACTTTAAAGGAATTTGGATAATAAAAGAGCACTGTAGTTTCTTCCCCAGTACAAGAACCACCAGCAGTAAGATCGATTTATTCATATCTACGCGATCTGGTTCGCAGTACAACGAATGCCTCCCGCGTGGGGGAAGGCGAGACGTGGAACCGGGGCCTGGAAAGGGACCAGATTGCAACGGGGGAGGAACCCTCCCCAGCGCGAAATCGGCTCCACGGAGGCAGGCTGCCGTAAGCCGGCGTACCCAGGTTTTGGCTCCCGAGACATCTTGCCGCCCAGGCGCGGCTTTTACCCGCTCCGAGGGACGGTCTGAGCGGGGCCCGGACGTCACCGGGAGAGACGGCGCTGCCCGTGCTGTCCCTGTCACGGCACGGCCAGATTCTGCAAGTAAGATCAAGCTCCCGGAACCAAAGCGCAACCCAAACACCCTTCTCGGAGCCAGCTGTCGGACACGAGGGGTCTCCGGATCCCTCGCTCTATCTCACAGAAGCAGCGAAGAGGAACAGCAACTTTATTTCTGAGGCTTTCTCCCAAACCACTTACCAACTTCAAAAACCATTTGTGCTCATCTGATATGCATTATTTCCCTATCATGAGAAATTAGGTCAAGTTTTTCCACTTTTTTTTTTTTTTTCCCCCTCCTCAGAAGAGGCAGTTTTAAAATGATGCCTTAAAATGTGTTGTAACAGATTTTTTATATTTATGCAGGATGAACTTAACACCGGATTTTTTTTTTTTTTGCCACTTTGCTATTTATATACATATATATAAAATGTATAATGAAGCTTAACCATACAGCACAGAGATTACAATTGAACGGCACACATTCACCACCAGTGAGGGGGACAACCCCTTTATACACCCTTTGAAAAATCTGGATAATAATATTAATAATAATTAAAATTCGAAGAAAGGACAGTATATTTAACAAAATAGTAAATATTAAACAGTGAATACTCTACTTAATAAGGACCTCGCCTTTTTTCAAGTTGGCGTCAATCCACAAAAATATACTTTTTAATCTGGTGAACGTACAATACATAGGTACTTACACCGAAGGTGATAATATACTTAGGATACTATATACACAAAGAGTTTGGCTCAAATTTAAATTTACATATAAGTGTTCATGGCTTATTTTTCCCCCAAGGTTCCGCCTGCAAGTTTTTCCTTTTCATCTTCGAAAGCAAAAACTAGAAAGTCAAAATAAGATAAAACTATACTCTACAAAAAAGCTACAACATACAGCTTTGGCTTATATAAATAATTCATAGCAGAATGTGTTCAAAAGTACTGTATATAACTTTATATATAGTCTTCAATTCATTAGGGTATTGTTTTCTTTAATATAAAATATACACAAGCTAAAATCCGTTTCTATATTTTTCAAAGGTATGAACGTAAAAACAAATTTGTCAAACATATTCCAATTATAACTTAATATATTAATTTTATTTTGTTAATGTTCTATTTGCTAGGCTAATATTTTCTGAATATTTCATGCGAGTTCTCTATGTCTCTCTTTCACTCATTAAAAAAATCAATTCTTTGACCCAATATGCTTTTTTTTTTTTTTTTTTGCACGTGCAAAACATGGTTTTTGTTTGTTTGTTTGTTTTATTTCTTATAGCATCAGCCCTTCTCCATGCACCCTCTGCAATAGAGACCCATGCCAGGTTGGGTAATATAAAGGTCGTTTTATGTACAGTATTGCTTTCTTCTTCCTGCTTTTCTACTGCTCTGCTGCTACAAAGCATTATTTCTTAACTACAAGTAACCATACAGCTTGAATAAAACACGCAAGGGACATTACTACAGGCGAGCCCTCTCGGTTTCTGCAATCTAGTGTGGTAGGATTATAATGCGGGTACAATGTTTCTTTGCAAAACAGGTTATATTATTAAAACACCAAGTCCGGGTAAGTGCCAGGCTAGATCAATACCTATAGGATTGTTCTGTTACATTTTACCATGGGACATCTGCAGCTATACAAGAAGTTTGTCGTAAGTGCCTGATGATTTTGTGTATGCTACACACACTAGCACATATATATGCATGTGAAGATATATATATGCACGTATGTATATACATATAAATATACTTATGTCATGTCCTTATTTATAAATTTAGATATGTCAGGACAGTTCATTTTGAGAACGCAAAACTGAAGAGGCAACACTGCGAGTTTATGTCACCCACGTGTCCATCCTCATTCGTTTTACCGATGGACTCTCCCTATCTTCGGAATTCGGTGGCCTTCCCAGCACGACAGGCGAATGGAAATCGCTTCTCGGGTCTTCCCGATCGCTGCCGTCGTAGGAGCTGCTGGAGCTGCTGAGACTGTCGACAGGAGAGCGACCCATTTCCTGCCGCGACTGCTGCTGCTGCTGCTGCTGCTGCGCTTGTGGCTGCTGCTGCGGGAACCCAGAGGGAGTTACACGGTCCCGGGGAGGTGAAATTGGTTCAGATTTTATGTTGATGTTTTGGTTGGTATTAATGGATAAATTTGAACCCTGAGATAGCTGGCTGCCAGTACTGGGAAAAAGAAAAACCAAAAGGCAGAAATAAGAAAACTCGAAAAAGGAAAAGAAAGTGACAATTCACGTGTCTGCGTGATGGTGCGGTCTTGTGGTTCAACACCCTCACAATGAGTATGTAAATAAATGCAGCTTACTGAAGCGAAGAAACAAAGTTGAAAAAAGTGTTAATTAGAGGTCTGAATCATTTATAGAAGTTACAAGCAAACAGAAATCTTTCCAAACGTTTAAGTTCATCATGCAGGTGACTCCTTTGTAAGAAGCTGGGCCTGCAGGGACACGGCTCGGCAGACAGAGTACAGAACTCACGGAAAAAAGGGAACAACATGGAACGTGAATTGGCTCTTGCAGCCAAGGAGCAAACTTGAAAGGCACCGCACCATCACCAGCAGACAAGAAATTAAAATGGTCTCGTGCTAAATATTCCCCCCATGCAGATGATGCAGCTTGAAGTGGCAGAAGTTCCCGACTGGATGCGGTACTGTACGGGTATCGGATCTACTTACACGAGGGAGCTGAGGGCTGCTGGACCGAGATGGTGCTGTTGCCAGGCAGATACCTGCCCTAAAGACAGCATTCCTGGGGAGTTAAATCCCTGCAAGGCAGACAGGTCTGCGCTAGTCAAAGAGTAATCTGAAAGGGAAAAACAAATAAACAAGAAAGCAGTTGATAGATCTATTTTTTTATATATACATGCATATATACACACATACATATATTTTAAAAAGTGAGTATATGCGATACGCACGCGCGCACACACAAATACAAAGGCTTTCTGCCCAAAACAAAGGCAGGCAAGTGACCCAAAGGAGTCCACACATGAAAACTTTGCAGTCTGGGAGCACTCCTCCTAACTTCACAAGGAGCTTAAGAGGACATAAGCCTCCAAATGACAATGTTTTTGCATTCTGCTTTCAATTCCTAGATGTTGCTGTCTCATATAGCTGCTTCTAAACCCACAGGTGCAACACATTTATGCTTTTATATATATTTTTAT